TGCTCTCGTCCGATTCTTACTTGCCGTAGTCCCGCTACTAGGTCCTGCACCCATGGCTCGCCCAAGTTGTGGGCAATTTGTTCTCAAGTGTCCCGCCTCCCCGCATTGTTAGGATCTTGGGGGATCACGACACTTGCCCGCATGGTTCCTCTTGTAGTTATTACACATTATAATGCCCGAGCCTTGCGATCTTGAGATTTTCCCACCTGGGCCTTGGTTTCCCCTCGATGGTGGTGCGGGTATTCTAAAAGACCCACCTCCCCCGTGGTTCCCTTTTTTGCTAGAACCTTGAGGGTCATGGTTCTCCCATTTTCTCTTCTTTGCCTCCTCAGCGTTTTTCAACTTCCTTTCCTCCCACTATTTTCTCCCTTCAAGCCTTGCTCCACTCCTTGACTAAACGTCATGTTAGGCAACTGTGTTGCCCTCTCACGCACGTCTAAGTCTAAAACATCGCATAAGTGGTTAACCATCTGGTTCTCTTTGCAAGCATACTCCGGTATGAACTCGGCAAGCTCCCTGAATTTGTGCTCAAGTTGCCTCACAGTATACTTGCTTCCTTGGGTCAAGTTGGTGTACTCCCTCCTTTTCGCGTTCACGTCGTAGTCGGAGTAGTATTGGTTGAAGAATTCCTGCCGGTAATTCTCCCAAGTAACGGTCTCACCGTACTTCCCCTTGACCCCATCCCACCATGTGGACGCCATTCCTTCTAGCAACCTCGTTTCTACTCTCATCTTCATGTTCGGCGGCAGCTGCATATCAAGAGCCGCTTCATTGAATCTTTTGATCCACTCGGCCGCAATAGAGATGTCCCTCGTTCCATCGAACGGTTTGCACCCCAAACCTCTCGCCTCCTTGAGGTACTTCGAGATTCTTATTATCGGAACCTCGACACCTCCTCCTCCTCCTAGGGTCTCTACATGTCCCCTAAGAATCACATGGCTTCCTCTTCTTGAAGCCTTTCCCAAAGCACGCCTTGCCCGGTGCCTTTGGCGGTCTTGTTGATACTGTCGGAGTAGTTCCTCCATTCTTTCCAGAGCGTCATTATCATCGCTCTCTTCACTCACATCATTATCTTCCCCATCATATGGGGTTTCCACCGGCTCAGTTCCCGGTTGGTAAGTTGAATCCTCCTTAGACTCGTATTGCTCGTCAATCGTCTCCACATGACCATCATTCACGGTCAGTGAGTGGCCCGCACGGCCCCATCCCCGAGACACCCTCAATGCCCCTCAACTGCCATGTTGCGACCTTCTCGGTGCCTGGCCAGTCGGGTTCCGTCGAGTAACTTTACCGGTACGTTCCATTTCTGAAAGAAATTGAGAATGAGTCATTAGACTCGTATTAAATGTCAATTGACGGATAGGCACTTAAAGACATCCTTTGTCTCAAATCACCGTCATACCAATTGTTAAGGGTATCATCTTAACAATTAGAGACTTTGCACTCAAGTACATAAAGTTCCATAAGTACAAAACTCCTTATGCTCATGGTTTTCAAATTCATTTTCAAAAAGAATTTTGAAGCTTCATTATGATGTTTACGAACTAAGGCTCTGATACCAATTAAATTGTCACGCCCCGGACCTACCCGTACACGTCAACATCCCGTCGTACAATATGAATAGTCAACCGCTGTCAAACGCATCCATACTATACAAGGCATCTTGAATACCATTCACACATAGTACATCCATAAACAAACATAATGTAAAATATTCATTTAAGCAGCGGAAACATTTATACAAGTGTTCAAACCACACTTGGCAAATCTTAGGCATACAAGCCCCAAAACAATTATCCAGAAAATAATATCCATGAGCATTAATGTAATTGTTTTTAAAACAGAACGGAGGAAGCACGGACCACGTCTCCTCTCCTACATCTTCCCGAAGCAATGGGCACTGGTAGCAACCTTCAAGTTCTACTTGAAACTGTGAGGTGGCCTCCCCCGTGAAGGGAGGTTAGTACTTTGAAGCATTTGAAAAGTACAATGACAACTACACTATATATAATCAATGTTTCAATTTCTAAGAACTTCAATCTAGGGTGATATTATATTATAGACCATAACCCTCGGTTACCCTGTTTGAAAATATATTTACTTTATATAAAGTCAAGTAGCTTAGTCGGCCCGTGGGCCCATATTCATTTAGAATTTACCATTTTCATTCCCCGTGATCATTAGCCATAACAACCCCTTAGGGTTTTATGAAGCCCCAATTGCATAGCGAGGGCTCGACCCAACTACATTTCTATACAACCCATAATTTCATGGCAAGGGCACGACCCAACTACGTTTCCATGAAGATCACAAATACATGGCAAGAGCTCGGCCCAACTACGTTTCCATGCTAACCACAATTACATGGCAAAGGCTCAACCCAACTACATTTCAATGTAATCCTAGACTCCGACTCTAATTTATTATCATAGTCCAATTCTCAAGCAAATCATATGCCTAGAATCCATTCACTTGGGTACCTTTAAGCCTACCCCTAACATACCTTAGAGCTCGTACAGTTTGACCTTAAAGTATCTCTTAAGACTACTTAAGGCATCACTGTAACACCCCGGCCCCGTAGGCCCCGAGGTAGTTACTTTTGATCTCTAGTACTGTCCTCACAAACCGCCACGAGCCTTTAACACACACTTTGTCCTCACTCGTGCTTGCCCTGAGAAACATCTCAGGGGTCACCCATCCCAAGACTACTACTCCCGTGCAAGCACGCTTAACTTTGGAGTTCTTGGTGATCAGCTCCCTTAAAAAGAGATGCATATTGTTGGTATGAGTAGTACTATTAATACATTTAAATTAAATCTCAAGTATTACAAGCACCCCCACTTGGGAATGCAACGTCCTCGTTGCGCCCATAAACTAATCTCAATCATATCCCAGAGTCTTTTCCCCTGCTAAGTGCCCGCCCGATATCCAACGGATCAACACACTGTCGCAGGGTTGCTCTGATACCATTTGTAACACCCCAGCCCCGTAGGCCCCGAGGTAGTTACTTCTGACCTGTAGTACTGTCCTCACAAACCGCCACTAGCCTTTTCCGCGCACTTTATCCTCACTCGTGCGCGTCCAAAGAAACTTCCCAAGGGGTCACCCATCCCAAGACTACTCCCGTGCAAGCACGCTTAACTTTGGAGTTCTTGGCTAATGAGCTCCCTTAAAAGGAGATGCACCTTATTGGTATGAGTAGTACTATTAATCCATTTAAATTAAATCTCAAGTATTACAATCACTATTCACAATCCAATCTCTTAAGATTAATCCCATTATTATTCGTATTAAATTCCCGACTAGTATTTCAATACTAGTCGGATAATTCTTAGAACAACCAAGTTCTTAATTCATGGTCAAACATTTCAATTCAATTGGTTTTTTCCAATTCAAATATAATTTAATCACAATATCAAAAATATCACTTTTATCAATTCATGACTTATTTACATGAGGTAAAAACATATTTTATCACAATATTTCATAGTTAATTCCATCATCATGCCATCATTTTCATAACACATAATCATACTAATTTTCCTCTAAATTTGTATATCATGCTTCATCTATTCATAGGCAATAATATTTTCATTTTAGCATTATTAATCATTAATAATCCATGAAAATCACATTTAAAATACCTTAGGTAATGTTATGAAATCAACTCACTAATTATAAGCAATATAGTCAGCCATCCTCACCTTATGATGTGCTCAACTAGCTGTCTTAGCGTAACCCCTCGATCCGTCCTCGTTCTAGGCCGACCGGAAATGGAGATTCTGGACAGTGGGTGAAAGCCGGGCTGCTTTCGTGAAAGCTGGGCGGCTTTTGGGTTATGCAGTTTCAAGCAGCTCTCTTTGAGTGGCGGTTTCCGGCGATTTTGACTCCTATTGATTCACGAACTCTTCTAAGTTAAATACCACCACTTTATATCAATATTCTACACTTTTAAACGTTTAGAATATCATGTTTAACCCACCATATGATTTCTTAAAAAATCATACACTATAAAACTAGTTAATGAATACTAGTTGGATTCTTACCTCAAATTCTAGCCTTTTTGTGTTGGGTTTCCTTTCCCTCTTGCTTTCTCCTAGCTTGAGCTTGTGAGAGCTTTTCTCTTGAGCTCCTTATCTCCTTGGTTCGAATGAGTGTGTGGAGGTAGGAAGAAGATTCCTTCTCAATCAACACCTAATAATTTATAGGATAGGTGGCCTCCCACATGGGTATGAGTTTTTGTCTCAAAGGAGACTTCCCACCCCCTACCACGTACCATGCCATCGATCTTGTCCCCCTCCTCACTCATTTGAGGCTAAATGGGTTGTAGAATGCCCCAAGTATTACTGTTGGGTAAATGGCCCAAATAGGAACGACCCATTAACCCCTGAGGATCACCGGACGAACGTCCCCAAAAGCCCAACAGTTTGGGGACAAATACCCTCAGAGTGGTCAAAGTGAGTGACGACGTTCGTCTCCTGCACCAAAATGACAGTAAGTGGTGACGACTTACGACCTCCTCTCACAGAGTAACAAAGCAGACAACAACACATCAGGAGACGTACGTCATTGGGCAGCTGGAGGTGCTTCCCCCTTCTTCCGAGGATGTACGTCCACAACAGGCCAGCAAGACCCCAATTGCAAGACGATCGTATTCAAGGACTTGAGATGCTTTCCCCCTACTTCAGGGGACATACGTCTCCAATAGGCCAGCAAGGCCAAATTTCAAGACGTACGTACGGAACCTGGCCTTGGGCGCAAGCAGGACACATGAGACAAGATCGTGGGGACGCTCGTCCCCACCACTAGGCGGAAAATTCAAACATATACTGAATTTTAAGTTCAAGTACATCCGAGTGCGGTGTCACAAATACATACTCGTATATTATTGAAGTTGATATTTTAAAAGTTTTAACTGATTAGATTTTCATGCAATTTATGAAAGTATATTTGTAAGGCCAATAAGAAAACAACACATATAACATGGAACTACAAATAAATGGAAATAGAGTATTTCGAGCAATTCTCCGTAGTTATGCAACACAAATACGGCTGCAATTGCTGTCGGTGGAGTGAAGTCTTGCTATTTTTTCATTTTTTGCGCTTAGACTCAGCTCAGTTGGCAGCTCTAATGTCGCTTTCACTTCTTCCATGCCTCTTTCCCAGCTTATATTATTGTAAAACTTGTTGTTTAGTGCTCCACAAAATAATGGATTAATGCCTTATTGGCAAGCTGTATTTGATAGCGATTCCCCGATATCTTTCTCCAGCTACGTACAGCTTGTAGGTTTATAAATACGTGCACTAAAACCATTTTTGGAATTTGTCGGTTCCCTCACTTTGGTGTCGTGCTGGATCTGGTTTCTCTTTCACATTGCGTTCGATCTTCTATCTCGTCCCCTTTGTGAGTTTCTTTTCAGAAATTGAATGTTTTCGTGGATGATCCGGTGGATGAAATGATAATTTAATTGCTAATAGATTTTTGAAGGGATTGGGGTCACGCTCAGATCTTGAGGTACTTGCTACCATGTCCTTCTGTGCATGAATTGTTGATTATTTCCTGTTGATTTTTGTTATAACATACTCCGTAATATTCTACTCTGAAGTACTAACAGTAGGATTTTGACTAAATGTTTAGGTGAGCTCTAATTCGGAGATCAGTGTAAAGTTTGTCTACTGTGGTTGATTCAAATTTCTGGAGGAAAACGTGTCATTTTAAGTTACCACTTAGCTGGTAGTTGAGATCTGCAGATCAGTTTAATTCTAGCCAAGTTGCGTGTGCAGTGACAGATTGGAAGGAAGGGAAGAGTCCGCTTCTTCGTCAAGAGCTTTTGAAGGTGTGTGGCATTGGATGGTGCATTTAGTAAGGCTGAACCACTTCACAGTTCTATAGTGCATATCAAAGCAAGCTGGAAATGGATTCTGAAGGAGAAATCAAGGTTTGTATTTGATGAGTTTAATGTGTTTCATGAGATCGATCCATTGCCACAATTAAGTCATTTACTCTCATTACTTGTATGTTGGACGATTATATCCAGCTGCTTTCCACTGCTCAGTATTTTACCTTGCAATCTATAGTCTATACTAAAGAGCAATGCGCCAATAATTGGTTTACAAACTAAACTTCAAGCTTTGCTGAACTATACGTCCATACAACTTTATGCCTGCATGCCACTAGTTGTTTTACTGCTGAAGTTTCGGTGTGTCAAATTGTCTTGAACATTTTATTGCTAACTTTTAGTAGATCATCACTTGCAAGTCAATGCTCTATGGTAAATAAGAATCCTGTCAGATGTTAAGTGTTTGTTCTTGGTATAGTTTTACATTCTTATCGGCATGGATCTGCTCAAGTGTTGATAATTATTTATGCAGGGGAAGTCCTTGAAGACTTTGGGAGGTCAGGTCTGCCAGATTTGTGGTGATGGTGTTGGCACAGCTATAAATGGGGAGCCATTTGTTGCCTGTGATGTCTGCTCCTTTCCTGTGTGCAGGCCATGCTATGAATATGAAAGGAAGGATGGGAATCAGTCTTGTCCCCAATGCAAAACCAGATACAAGAGGCATAAAGGTAATATCGTTTCTTGATCTGTGCTAACTTATGCAATGTCACGTTTTAATGGTGGTAGTTATTCACACTATTTGCATTCTTGATTGAGAGGTGAAAGGAACAATGATTTCACATATTTGATGATTAGTTTATTGACATCAAAGTTCAATAATAGAACATAAAGCACTATTAGAATCTAATATTTCACAATGGATGCTCTTATCACATTGGTTTTCTATATATTTTGTTATATTGTTCTTGTACATATGTACAGGAAGTCCTGCAATACTCGGTGAAAAGGAAGATGATGGTGATATTGACGATGGTGCGAGTGATCTTCAGTATGCTTCTGAAAATCAAAATGAGAAACAGAAGATTGAAGAGCGTATGCTGAGTTGGCACATGACTTACGGACGTGAAGATAATGGGCGTTCGAAATATGACAAGGACGTGTCACACAACCATATTCCTTTGCTCACAAATGGAACATACGTATGGTTTCTATGTTATATTAATGAAAAATTCCAATTTAAGTGCAATGTGCTCCGAATCAAGTCTTCTTAATGTTTTCCCTTAGGTTTCTGGAGAACTATCTGTTGCATCACCCGAGCGTCTTTCAGTGGCATCTCCTGGTCCTGGTGGTGGGATAAAACGCATACCATATTCAAGTTTTGCAAACCAATCTCGTAAGTCTCATGCATAATATTTCCCTTTGGTAAACATGAAACCAGTGCCATTTCATGTGAAATGAAAATATTGTGGACTGTATTTTCTTGCACAGCCAATATTAGGGTTGTTGATCCAGTGAGGGAGTTCGGATCTCCTGGACTGGGTAATGTTGCATGGAAGGAAAGAGTGGATGGTTGGAAGATGAAGCAAGAGAAGAATGGTATTCCAATGACTACTAGTCACCCACCTTCTGAAAGAGGTGGAGATATTGACACCAACACAGATATACTCGTGGATGATTCCTTACTGTACGTTTTCCTATTCCAAAACAACTTACAATATTGCTCTTCTTTTAGCAGTTATGAGTTTGATTGTTCCACCATTTTGCCAGAGCGTTTTAGGTCATTTATTATCATCATCATCACCTAAATAGAAATTACTTTGGGCCCGGTTGCATGAAATTTATAGTGGCAATTAATTGTCTAGAATTTGTTGATACTCTAAATCCATGCAAAAAATGCAGTGGCTATGCTTTACACCGGATACATTTCTAGTTACAACCATTTAAAGGAGGACTAACGAGATGAAATCTCTACACGTTATCATCATAGGTCTTTCCCACTTGCATGGATGTATCATGATATGCCAATGAGTTGATATAGTTGCTCTAGTCATTCCCCATGGTATTGTTAAATCAGCACACACATCACTGATCATGATTTTCATCCTACTATGCTGTAAAGCACATATTCATCAGTTTAATAGCATGAGCGGAGCTTTTCTTAGAAAGAATTCCTTGTGATTAGTGCATGTGTTTATGCTCCAGGAATGATGAAGCTCGACAGCCTCTTTCAAGGAAGGTTTCAATCCCGTCATCAAGGATAAATCCTTATAGGATGGTCATTGTCCTCCGGCTTGTTGTTCTATGCATTTTCTTGCATTATCGACTTACGAACCCGGTTCCCAATGCATTTTCTCTCTGGCTAATATCAGTGATATGTGAGATTTGGTTTGCGGTATCCTGGATTCTTGATCAGTTCCCAAAGTGGCTGCCAATAAACCGTGAAACATATCTTGATAGACTTGCTCTCAGGCAAGAAATTGTTACTTAATCACCATTTTCTTTTCATATTTTTACTACGTTCAGTTTGGATCCTAAATAAAATGTATATTGACAGATATGACCGAGAAGGAGAGCCATCACAACTGGCTGCTGTTGATATATTTGTCAGTACTGTTGACCCTTTAAAGGAGCCTCCTCTTGTGACAGCAAATACTGTTCTATCAATTCTTGCAGTGGATTACCCTATTGATAAAGTCTCTTGCTATGTCTCTGATGATGGTGCTGCAATGTTGACATTTGAAGCCCTATCTGAAACAGCTGAATTTGCAAGGAAATGGGTTCCTTTCTGCAAGAAGTACAACATTGAGCCCAGAGCTCCAGAATGGTACTTTGCTCAAAAGATTGACTACTTGAAGGATAAAGTTCAGCCATCATTTGTGAAAGATCGCAGGGCAATGAAGGTTAATATTTCAGTGCACTACGCTTTTTTGCAAGATAAAAATATAACATTTCATGCTAGTGCAGGCACTTATGCTCCTTCATTTGCTTATCCGTACAGAGAGAATATGAAGAGTTCAAGATACATATCAATTCTCTTGTTGCGAAGGCCACAAAGGTCCCTGAAGAAGGATGGATAATGCAAGATGGCACGCCATGGCCGGGAAACAACACCAGGGATCATCCAGGAATGATTCAGGTAACTTTGGGTCTAGAGTGACTGTATAGCATTTATTCTGGTGAAGAATTGTCCTACTCGCTATGTTGAGATTTCCAATCTTCTATAAAGCGCCAGGGTGGCAGAGATTTGGTGCTTAAGGCCTTAGTCACCTAGGCAATGCCTTGGAAATTCTAATCCATTCGTAAATACCATGGTCCCAGAATCAGTTAGTCACATACAAAAGTCTCCAAAGATGTGCCTGAAAAGAGTGCAGATTCATAAGTCTGTCTTTTGGGGCTTCTTCCTTCATTTTGGCATCGTAGTTCATACTTCATGCAGTGGAAAACTCTTCCTTGCTGACTTCAGGGTTTCTGTTTCTATATACTATGGGTAAACTTAGGGGTTCTAAAAAAACTTGCTGCCAAGGTTGTATTAGTTGCCAGGCCCGCCATGAACCTCTGAACTTATTTCAGACAATTAAGGAACTTGCATCACAGTAACAAAAAGCCGCCTAGCATATTGGTTGATGCATTGGTTTTTCGAACACAAGATATATCCATTAAAGATTGTTCTACTTACTATTTTAAAAACATGTATTTGTTTAATTACAAAAGTTGTCTTCCGAGTACACTTTGGAATAAAATAAATGTACACTCCTATATCTGTGTTATAGGAGACAATTTTCTGGGGGGGGCATAAAAGTATGTGTGGTCCTACTGCATACCATTTCATTATACTACATACAACTTATATTTCTAAGCTTCAACACTATTGATACTTGCACTGCCATTCCCACTCTAACACTTTTGTATAGGCGTCTGTGGACTAATACATTTTCATTCAAAATACACATCACTTTATACTTCATTCAGGTCTTCTTGGGTCAAAGTGGAGGTCTTGATACTGATGGTAATGAGCTGCCTCGATTAGTCTATGTTTCTCGTGAGAAACGTCCAGGTTTTCAACATCACAAGAAAGCTGGTGCTATGAATGCTCTTGTGAGTAGTTGGAATTTATAGCGTACTTTAGTTTTTTTCTTTGTATGCTTGTTGGCATTATGTTCATAAACTCCCTTTGCAGGTTCGTGTATCAGCAGTTCTTACTAATGGGCCCTTCCTATTGAATCTTGATTGTGATCATTACATAAACAACAGCAAAGCTTTAAGGGAAGCAATGTGCTTTATGATGGATCCTAATCTTGGAAAATATGTCTGCTATGTTCAGTTTCCCCAGAGATTTGATGGTATTGATAGAAATGATCGATACGCCAATCGTAACACTGTTTTCTTTGATGTATGTTTTTCAACCTTTGTTAAAACTACATCCAAATTACTTCTCCTTACAATGTTCAATCTTAATTGTGGACTGTTTGTTACTTTGTTTCTGGTGTGGTTTAAATGTGATCTCATTCTCTGTGGAAACAGATGAACTTGAGAGGTTTGGATGGCATTCAAGGACCTGTCTATGTGGGCACTGGATGTGTCTTCAACAGAACTGCATTATATGGTTATGAACCTCCAATCAAGCCTAAGCATAAGAAACCAGGCATGCTGTCTTCCCTTTGTGGTGGGTCTAGGAAGAAAAGTTCTCAGTCAAGTAAGAAGGGCTCAGACAAGAAGAAAGCTAGCAAGCACCTGGATCCCACTGTGCCTGTATTTAACTTAGAAGATATTGAGGAAGGAGTCGAAGGTATCTTTTTCCCCATCTTCTCTAAAGCTTAAGCTAAGATCTTTGGATCCTCATCTCAAGCTAGGGCTAATCTTTTTTATGCACATTTCATCCTGGACCCTTCATTGCTTGTAAAGCAGCTTTATTCACCATTTTTGACTCGATAACTATTTCATTTTATCTTTTGGTTCCCCCCCACTGAAGTTCCCTTATTTTTCTTCCATAGGGGCTGGATTTGATGACGAGAAATCACTGCTCATGTCTCAAGTGAGCCTTGAAAAAAGATTTGGTCAGTCTGCCGTTTTTGTTGCATCCACGCTTATGGAGAATGGTGGTGTTCCTCAGTCTGCTACTCCTGAGAATCTCCTCAAAGAGGCAATTCATGTTATCAGTTGTGGGTATGAAGACAAAACAGAATGGGGAAGTGAGGTATGCTGATTGTCTTCTCTGTCTCAATCATATGTGAGGGGTGTAATGGTTTCATATGGAAAACTGAAGGGTTTAATTCTTTACTTTACTCCCGACATCAATGGACGAGTCAGGGTCAGACAAGTGGCCCAATTTTGTTGTTGAGTTCTTATCAAATAGAGAGCACAGAACCAGCTTTAGGCTATATTTCTTTACAAAGTTCAGTCCAATATGAATTCACCAGACCTTTGTTATACAAACTCACAACTAACTGTATTTTCTTAGTGTATGGGTTATTTGACTCTCAATGCTAAAATTACAAAAATGATTTTACAATTGCATTTACTAAACTGCAGCTCTTTGATATTTTCCATCTTGCCTTATAAATGTGCAGATAGGATGGATATATGGTTCTGTCACAGAAGATATCCTTACAGGGTTCAAAATGCATGCCCGTGGCTGGCGATCAATTTATTGCATGCCTAAAAGACCTGCCTTTAAAGGGTCTGCTCCTATTAATCTTTCAGACCGTTTGAACCAAGTGCTTCGATGGGCTTTGGGGTCTGTGGAAATTCTTTTCAGCAGACACTGTCCTATATGGTATGGCTACACTGGAAGGTTGAAGTGGCTAGAGAGATTATCCTATATCAACACAACCATTTATCCCATCACTTCTATCCCTCTTCTTTTTTACTGCACTCTTCCTGCTGTCTGTCTACTTACTGGGAAGTTTATCATTCCACAGGTTTGTTTCAATATTTATGCTCAAACATTTATGATCCATGTAGTTCTGAAAGCACATCCATCCAGTATTCCGTATAATATATTATGAAATTAGTTGTATGGTAAAATTAGTAATTCTTCCACATGCATACATGCATTAACCATTATGTGTATGATGAAATGGATCTTATACGGAGTACAAAACTAAAGCTTTGGAGATGATGAGATATCAAATAATTGGAGGTCATTTTTGAATTGTATTTCTCTACTCTCTAGGCAGTGTGGAGTTGAGGAATACAAGTAGTGGGCTGAGATGTGCCTCTGCCACTTCATTCCTATAAAAATACTGCGTAGGTGCCTGAATCTTCTTTAGGATTCTGCTGACTCCTGATTCATTCTGCAATAATGCTGCTATATGTGTGGGACACTGTTCTATCTTGGTGCTGAACTAATAATGTCTTTTGCAGATCAGTAACCTTGCCAGTATCTGGTTTATATCTCTCTTTCTATCCATCTTTGCCACCGGCATACTTGAGATGAGATGGAGTGGTGTTGGAATTGATGAATGGTGGAGAAATGAACAGTTTTGGGTTATCGGGGGTGTTTCGGCCCACTTATTTGCAGTCGTCCAGGGGTTACTCAAAGTGCTCGCTGGAATCGACACCAACTTTACTGTCACCTCTAAGGCATCAGACGAAGACGGGGACTTTGCAGAGCTGTACCTGTTCAAGTGGACGACATTGCTGATACCACCCACCACTATCCTTGTCATAAACTTGGTGGGTGTTGTTGCGGGTATCTCTTACGCCATCAACAGCGGTTACCAGACCTGGGGGCCTCTCTTTGGGAAGCTCTTCTTTGCCTTCTGGGTCATTGTTCACCTCTACCCTTTCCTCAAAGGTCTCATGGGGCGTCAAAATCGCACCCCCACCATTGTTGTGGTGTGGTCTATTCTGCTCGCCTCTATTTTCTCTTTGCTTTGGGTCCGAATCGACCCCTTCACCTCCAGGGTTACTGGCCCAGATGTCCAGGAATGTGGTATTAATTGCTAGTAGTTTACTTTAATCGCAGGACAACATACATATACGCTAAAAGTATGTCAGTAACAATGATCTGATGATCGTCTTATAGGAATTTTCCGTTTTTCCTACACCCTCTGCTGAATTTTCTTATATTCATGTGTAATTTTCATGTCTGAGAGTGAAACACTTCTATATATATAATACAGTGTGCGTATTCATTCATTCATAACGTTTCCGTTAAAAGTGTAATAATGACTATTACCAGACCCTAGGATTGCAAATGAATTATAGTTGTTGGTCTTTCTTGCATTCTTAGCTCATGGCATAAAGATTCCTTTTTTTTTTAAAGAAAAGGGATAAATTTCTCTCAAATGTGAGCCTCGGTTTTTATTTTCAGCTAATGTTATCCTTTTAGAGTTTTAGTGGGCTCAATGCATAAACACCTCAGACTAGGGATGGACCCGGGTCCGGGCCGGGTCCGGGTCGGGCCTAGGCCCGGGCGGGCCGGCGGGTCAGAAATGGTGGACCCGTGACCGGCCCGGGTAACCACCGGGTCCGGTCCGGGTCCGGGCCGGGCCGGGCCGGGCCCATTATTTTTATTTTGTTTTCCTCTTCCTAATTAACCCCCCTCCCACCCCAACCACCCAAATGGCCCAAAATACCCAGCCCAACCCGAAAATTTAAAAAAAAATTGAAAAAAAAAATAGTTTTTGGCCCGAACCGGGTCCGGGCCTTGTTTTGGGTGACCCGAGCCCGGACCGGAAAACCCACGGGCCGGGCCTACCCGGACCGGTCACTGACCGGGCCACCGGGTCGGGCCGGGCCAGAACAGTACCGGTTTCGGGCCGGTTCCGGGTCGGGCCACCCGGCCCGAGTCCATCCCTACCTCAGACCACAGTTTGTACATGTATAGCCGTATGGCTAGGCATGGACCTGGGCCCCGGGCCGAGATTGGGCAGGATTGGGGATTTGGGATGAAGGCCCGCTAGTGGCTCGGGTTTGAACTAGGCCTGGGTCGGGTTAGGTCATTTTTTTTTAAATTAGTCTTTTCTAATTTATTCCTACCCCCACCCCCACCCCCAAACCTTGCCAAATGTGACTAGCAAGTTTCGAACTCGAGACCTCCCACTAGGCACGGCTCACAACCAACTGAGGTGGAATGCTTGGTTGTTGTTTAGGTGGTAAAGTAATACCAAGGGTATTTCGATTGCCGCAAATAATTCCTCCCCAAAATGAGCACGCGTATAAAAAGGCGTAATAATCTGATTTGACATTTGAATGGAAAGGAGTAAACAATACTCCTACTCCGTATCAAAATTCAATGGGTTGGGCTTAGTGTACACACCCCTTTACACATATGTGTACACATTATAAACAATAAGATTTTTTTACCAAATTTTACCCCCTCCCCCTCCCACACCACACATGCTTCTCTTCTCTCTCTCTCTCTCTCTCTCTCTCTCTCTCTCTCTCTCTCTCTCTCTTCTATTTTCTTCTTCCTCTCCAAGCTTCCTTGGTAGACATCACCCTCTTCACTCTCCTATTACAAAGATCCATAGTTTCACTGTTTATGAATGAATTTTATAACACCACCAACTGGAGAAGATTGATATGAAGAGTTGTTCATGGAAACGACGACAACAACCGAAGATGTGTAGAAAGTGTTTATTGTTTGTTCTCTTTATTTTTGTATTTTTGGGAGAAAAACGAGTTCTTCTTGCCGTCCCTGTATACAGAGACGACTTATAATTACAGTGTACACAGACAACTAATATACATAGACAACTAATATCTGTATACAGACATTTAGTGTGTAAAAGGTGTTTATGGTGTTTTTTGTATTAATGTGAACACAAAGATGAGTTGGTAATGCAATCCATGTGTACATGCATGACTTTTTTACAAACAACTAATGTGAACACATGTTTTTTGTTTGTTCAAACTACAATATTTTTTGTTTTGTTTGATGGGTTGATATACTTTCCTTTTTAGTTTTTTTGCTGCACTTTTGCGTATTATAGTATAGGAAAAGAGGTCAAATGGGTCATTCTACTATTTCGAATAGATCACTTAAGTCATTCTACTACAAAAGTATCACATGAATGTGCTTACTTTAAGCCATTTTGATATGCTATAACAATTTTTTTAAAAAAAAATAATAATGTAATTAATAAATCTTATAAAAATTCATATAGATTTGAAAAATAATGACAATATAAAAAATAGTCTAAATACAAAAATAGATAAATAATTTAAAATTGTTAAAAAAAATTAAAAAACCACAAAACTGAAAAAATTGAAAATGTAATAAATATAAGATATTGATGGAGTATATGGCCCAGGAACCCTCGACCCACATACTTCCACTACTGCAAAAAGGCCCAACAGGCCCAAGTGGCCCAAACACAGCAAACAAGACTCCGGACAACCCATACTACAACAAGATGTTGCTTTCGGCCCCATACCCGAAGGCACGGGGGATGTACATCCTTCGGCACATGAAGGCCCCAGGGGACGTACGTCTTCGATGCATGAAGGCCCCATGGGACGTACGTCCTTCGGTACATGAAGGCCCCAGGGGACGTACGTCCTTCGGCACATGAAGGCCCCGAGGCTACGTACGGCCTTTAGCACATGGCGGTATCCAGCTACGTACGACCTTTAGCACATGGCGGTATCCAGCTACGTACAGCCTTTAGCACATGGTGGTATGCAACTACGTACGGGCTTTAGCACATGGCGGTATCCAGCTACGTACGACCTTTAACACATGACGATATCCAACTACGTACGGCCTTCGGCACATGAAGTCCTCCGGGGTACGTACAACCTTTAGCACATGAGGGTCCCCAACTACGTACGGCTTTCGGCACATGAAGTCCTCCGGGGTACATACGGTCTTCGGCGCCACCCTGGTTGAGTCGACCCTCCACCGTTGATCGTTTGACACGTGTACCCGCATTAGTTACACCTAGCATTTATGTCTGCTATAAATAGCAAGCCAGTTCTTCATTGTAAAGGATCCGATATGATCCCAGATCCCAGATCCGAAATAAAACAATGGGAAATTCATTTATATATCACTTCTCTCTCTAGCTCTCCGTTCTCTCTATGAGTTAATACTCCATCATTTGGTGCTCTCGTTGAGAGCTAGAACAAATCAAGTGAGATCCTCTCAACCCATAGTGTATCACACGAACGGGTGACATAATATCCCTTCGGCCAAGATCATATCATGGCAGTATGCTGGTTCCCCCCGGCACAAGACGAACGTCCCCTCAGCCTGGGCATGGAGAAAACAACTCCTTGTCTTTACCAGGCGGTCACCAACGTCCAGTCAAAAACACAATCCGCGCTTTCACCCTACAGCAAGGGGAAGCCTTAGTGGATCCCTCGGCCGGTGTATCCCTCGGCCAAGGACCAGAAACCATGACAACAAAAGCAACCAGGGGGTCGACAACAACGCATCATCCACTAAGTCATCGGCTCAGACAGAGGATTGCGGTGCCTTCGGCCAATGAAAGCTAGTGGGCACCCCTCGTCTACGATGGTTCCCTCTTTGGCCAAACCCGACAGAAGGAGGAAAAATCTCCCCCCTTCATCATGGGAACAGGAGTAGCTCCACCCTCGGCCAGAAGACCCTCGTCCTCGGCCAGAAGACCCTCGTCCTCGGCCAAGGCCAACAGGAAAACAAACAGGACCCTTCGTCCAACTGGAGAGCTGGCGCCCCTCGGTCAAAAACAAACAGATGGTAGGTAAGATGCCGCCTCGGCCAAACAAAACGGAGATACACCTCCTTCGTCTTAGGTCACCCGTCTTCTACCCCTCGATGAAGCCTCACATCGGCCAAAGGTGGGTCACCTTCAGCCGGTCAGGATCAGAGTCACTTCGGTCAAGCAACGAACCCCTCTGCAATGACGACGAAGGTCTGAGGACCCTCTTCAGACCCTCGGCCAGAGGACCCTCGTCAATCGCGTCGTCCTCGGTCCCCATCGGTCCAAATCACATGCCCGGTTAATCATTCGGTCAGCCCGATCCTCACAGCACTCCAGCATCGATAAAAAACAAGAGCTAAGTCCTATGACTCATTCTCCCAATTGAATTATCAAGTAGTAGTGTAATTATCATTATTATCACTACCTACTAGCCGGTTAAAATCCCAAAAATGGTGCAGCCCGAGCTCTAATCTACCGAACATCTTTATTTGATGATTCAGATTATGTTTGGGTCCCTCGACCTACCCCAGTCACCTTTATTTGGTGGCTCGGGCATCTAAAAATGAGAGCCGCTATCGACCGCATACGGCAAGCTCGTGGGGACGAACATCCCCACCCCTTAGGCCAGGCGCAACGCAGAAGGCAAGCTTTGAGAGACGCTCGTCTCCACCCCTTATGCCTCAAAGCGGTAAACGATACAGTTCAATCTCTGAGCCGCTAATTGCGTCACCCAAAGCCGTTGCCATGAACAACGCACCTATTGCACTTCACTTATTTTTGTGAATTTAAGTAAAGGATGCCACACAACAGAGCACATTTGTTGATCCCCTTAGAGCGAAACGCTCAGGTCTGACTGACGATGTCACAGCACGTCGTAGCAACCCCTTAGAGCGAAACTCTCAGGTATGGCCGACGACGTCCCAGGACGAGGGGCCCACAAAATGGCCCACGTCTTGAAATGGAAATCTCACCGCGTCGTCCTCGCGCAAAATCGCATGGTGACAGGCTTGAAAGAATGGCCGAGGTGACAAAATCCTCACACTTGGGTTCCGGAAACGGCAGCCATCGGTAACCCACCAAAAGCCTGAGCCCGCGCCATAAATAGACCTTGGGACTCCCCCAAGATTTAGGAACGATCTAGCGCTAGGGGACTAACAACTGCTCTCCTGGACTCCCTACCGGCCGAGGGAATAACAACCCCCTCATCCGAGCCAGAAAGAAGGATACCCACTCCTCGCTCAAAGAAGTAAAGAGGAAGAAATAAAAGAGGGACAGCCGAAGGACCGTGCACTCGCCGGCTTTGAGCGATATCCCCACAAATAAAAGAGGGACAGCCGAAGGACCGTGCACTCTCCGGTCTCGAGCAAAATTTCCACAAATAAAAGAGGGACAACCGAAGGACTGTGCACTCCCCGGCCTCGAGCGAAATCCCCACAAATCAAGCCACATATTTGGCTAAGTACATATCAGACAAACACTATGCATTGTGGACGAAGCAAGACCATATGTGCGGATCAGACGAGCGTCCCCAACGCCGACTTGCATCTTCAGACGAGCGTCTAACGCCGTCCATTATCAGACAGTCCAATGCTGTCCATTTTCA